TAGCTTTTTATGCAGCATATCAGATCAGCTAAAACACTAATTAGAGGAAGTCGTAAACCAATTAAATCAATGTAGTGTAAGTAAACATGGTAAGGATAAACTTCATGATCATGGTAAAAAGTAATTGTGCAGTTTTAATCAGATCTCTTCACCTTTTTTCAAAAACTTATTTGAGRAATTCTTCAAAATAGCTTTTAAGGAAAATCAGAAACCTTGGAAATGATAACTAATAGAAGACCCTTTCTCACAAGTCCTCATGCCAACAATTTCACAAAGGGTTCTGGAAGAGGGACATAGCCCTCATATTGAAAGCATGACCCTATCTTGAGTCACATAGCCAGGCTGAGCTTGCTACACAGGGAAGGATATACATTAGCTCACTTATGCTCAAATGAGGCCAAACTATCTAGAAGATAACATAATATACTTACTGATAAAAATTACACCCAGAGTAATAAAGAGTGAAGGAGAAAAATCAGAGTATTCAGAACAAATAAAATAGTATTACCTGTCCCTACTCCCTCCCCACCCCTCACATCCTGGAATACATGCTATCTGTGAAGGACTCGACTGGTGAATCAGCTGAATGGGAACTCCCAGTGTAATGATGTGGGCAAAAGAGTTGATGTGATTCTTGAATGCATAAAGCAGGACTCACATGAGATTGTTGTGCTTGGCATAGGTCTGGTTGCTATGTCGCATTTGACGACAACCATAACTGGAAAAAGTACTGAGGATGAATTAGAACAGCAGAGAAGATTACTGGAAGTTTGTAAAATATGTTCTCTAGTGAGTCCTCTATTCAACRACGTTGATCTTTTCTCATATTAGAAAGAGGTTAAAGGCTCACCTGAGCAAAGTCTGGGCTTGCCCACACAAGCAACAGGAATTGGATAGAAAATAACWTACAAACATAGAAATAGTAAATTGAAATGGATGGAACTTTAAACTGGACACTTTCAGAGAAGAAATAAACAGCCATTTGTTTAGCCTCAAAGGTCATTAACCTTTGGAACAGTTTACCAAGAGCTGTTGTATGTTCTTCATCRCTGAAATCTGTAAATCAAGATTAAAGGCTTTTCTCAATGACATGCTAGAACAAACAGGGATTGACTGAAGGAACTTTTGTGTATTACAAAGGAAGTCAGAAGAGATGAGCAAAGTCAGCTGTTGTGTCTCTATTACTTGTTCATCTGATCTATAAACATCTGATCTAGARTAATATATTGCCATATTGTAAAACAGGTATGCTGATAACAGGGTGCCTTAAAGATCTGCAAAAGTAGGTGGTGTTTACAGTAGTGATCAGTGACCTGGAAAAAGTGCCTGACAACAATGACAAAAAAAAARTTTGTCTCAAATGAGAATTTGGAGACAATAAAAGTCAGTTGAGACTTACAGCAGTTAAGAATATTATAAATGCAAATGGAATTGATTTTTGTGTATTGTTTAATTGCATAAGAAGTAGGATAAAAAAGAAACAATACCATTAGATAAACTGATGACACTTTTTGTTTTGTATCCTGCATTCACTGCTTTTCAAATGAAGTTTAGTTACAGATGTCAAATACCAAATTTACCAAGTCACACCATTCTTTGTTTGCTATCCTCATTTATACTCAGATGTTAGGTGTTTAGTGCAGGGTCTTATATGACTGTGGGAGTTCCATAGTTTGCAAATACAAAATAGGAGCCTGGCTACTTTTTTATTAAAGATAATACTGGAGTTTTAAGTCCAGCACCAAAGTATAAATTAAACTTAAAACCAGCAATTTGCATTTTCCTCTTTATGTGATCAGGACCCTATTGTTCCTGTGATTCTGAATTCTCCAGTGTCATTAAGCTGAAGTTYCTGCAAAGCAAGCACATTTGGGAGTGAAAGAATGATTGTGAGCTAAACTGAAAAAATAAAATTCTTCAAAGCTTCGTATCAGAAACTTACAAAATTTGCTTAATTTTGAAATGTGTGGAATGGAAGCCTTGCTACTTTAGTTTTAATTCTGCTATTAAGAGCTACAGAATTATTACCAAAACAAGCCATCTTCAATTGTCTGAYGTGCATTCCATTCTTACTGTGGCAAAATTCTGACTGATGTTGGTAAATGCTGCAAGAATAGGCTGGTATCTGTTGCTAATTGTGCGTACTCTGCCTATGTCTTGAAGCTTTTTTTTTCCCAGCGATTTTTCCTTAACTTTTAAAATTAATATCGTACTCAAATTAAGACAGTGTGCTTGTGTGTCCCCTAAACTAATAGATGTACAAAACTTATTTTGATTTAAAGAAAAAAAGAATATATATATATATATATATCTGTACTAGCTGTTCAAGGCAAAAGAGAAGCCTAGAAAATTAAAGGTTTTTGTTCTAACTTACACTCAATTTCTGATGGTAGCTCCTTTTCAAATATAGCTCAAGCTATGATACACTTTATATCTCAGAGTATAGCTCAAGGTAAGTTAYGTAATGTCAGTGTAGAGATTAAGTGAGAGTACTTGTAAATATAATACAGTGTCATGTCAGTAGAGTTGAAAGYTGCATCTGCTGTCAGCATTTGCTAGAAGCAAAAATTGTTAAATAGTGGTATATTCCTTCAGCTAATATACTTTTGCCATTACGAGTTCTGGGGGGCATGAGATTCTTACTTTGTTGAAAGACATTCTTTAATTAATTATTTTAATGAAAATAACTAGAAGCTTGTTTAAGTATAGACTCTTTTATCACTGATCTGACAATATCTTGTCAGTATACTTGCAAAATACTTGCAAAAGTATTAAAATGCTTAGGAGAGATGTAACAGGTTGGATGAATTCTTGTTTTGTTTCGGCGTTGAAAATTCCTTGGAATATACTGCAGAGCAAGGTAACAGCCTTATTATTATAAGTAACACACTGCTGGACTAAAGAGCATTTTAAAKAAATCAGATATGTATGCATTTTAAATTTGGCAAGAGTTCGTGCATTTAAATTTTGTCAAGTGTGTTTGACAAACACAGCTGTGGTTTTTGTGTGTTTCAGGATTTTGCAATTGAGGAGATCCAACACTGGAAAGAAACGATGTAACAGCACCATGGATGTAAAGTTGACGCATTGATCATGTGTTGTCTGGAAAATGTTTTAAATGGCTTCATTCAGATTTTCAATATATTTATCTGAGCTGTGTAGCTCACCTTGTTAATAAACCAATGAAACATTTTAATAAACTTGGATTACAGGGGATGCAAATTGTTTGTATGCAAATCTGTATATATGCWGACATTGGTTTCATTAGTAGCATGTTACCTTAGTGCACTGTTTTCAACTGGTGACACATGGCAGTAACTAAGAATTTGATCTTGCTTTTTAATGGTTTCAACTTCTGATTAATATGGTATTAATCATAATCCCCTAAATATATGTATTTTAATTTCTTTTCAGTACAATGTTATATTTTCTCTAGAAAATACTGGAAATCATTTAGAAAAGAGAAAGGAATTTCAGTGACTATATATCACTAATTAACTTTATTATATGACTAATGAATACATAAAAATATACATCTTTTTAAAATAACTATTTTACACATGACAATTAACTGTCTATTTATTTATTGTTTACTTACAAATTCACATGCATTATGTCCATATTTTTAACTTGAGATGGAACCAAACTGGTCATTCACTTGGTGATAACATGTTTTCTCACTTTGTTTCCTACATGAAATTAGTCTGCTCAAACCTAGTTCAGATAGTTAGTTATTGAAATGTTTAATTAAGTTCCCTTTAAAAATTTGATTTAAAAAAAGCWGATACTTTCTGAGGAGGAACATTTTCACTAGAAAGTTTAAAGTACTTATTTGAACTATTTTACATTCACCAAGTTCCCTGCCATATTTCTGTTTATTTCAGTGTAAGAAGAGAATTCAATCCATTGGATTAAATTGTCCAAATCTTACTGAGGAAAAGCAATGAAGTCAAGAGAATTTTACCTGCAGGAATTAAAAACACATATTTAGCTTTTTTWCCCCCTTCTCTGGCATATAATACTATAACATAATGACCTATGTGACCTGGGATAGCATAGAGAAYATCCAAAGTGTGGCACAGCTCAGACTTTAAATAATTATCTGGTGATGAAAGACAARTGTGGCTGTTCATGGTTACTTCTTCTTGCAGTGGTTTCTGTACCTGCTCCATGCCTTTCAGGGCTCCCTGTACAACAGAGAAGAATTTCCTGACATTTCCGTCTGAAATGGGCAACATTATATAGTATTGGATTGACAGCAGAGTTGGCAAAAGTGAATAACACGATCCAGAAGAAAACTGATGGCAAAATATTTAAATCTTTTTTGAAGTTCTGAACTAAAATTAAAAAAATAATTACTACTATTGGGCTCCACATAATGAAGAAAGAGATCATCAGCAGAAAGAGGGCTCGGAAYAGTTTGTAGTCTTGCTGGGAAACACGAGTGTGATGATGTTCTGAGTAGGCTAAACCAGCATTTAAACTTCTTCTTGATGCTTTTGTAATCTGCAGCAAAAGAGAAGAAAGCAACTTTCAGTGAAATACATTTTTACAAGTGAAAAAATAAACCTTGCCACATGATGTTTACTTTTAAAAAGTGACTACAAAAAAGACATTTCAGAATTCCATTTGTAGTTTTTGTCAATGGTTCCATTTCAAATGTTCTCACATCACTAGCACTTCTTTTTCCTCTCAGCTGTGAATTTACCTCAATATTGSGCRAAGTGGTTGCTCTTTTCATGGCTCTCTACCAGTCATAAATACTTTTCAGCATAAAACAGTCTTAATTACTCATGAAATCCCATTAAACTCAAATTATGCATTAAAATCCCATATATATACACATGCTGTGTTTCTTGCAGGAGCTGCAAGATTTTGTCCACAGAAACTCGTTGATATTTTTCACAAATGCCATCTGGAACAGAGTTAACARCCCTGTTAATGCACAAGAAGGAATGGGATCCAATTCTTATGGCCATGCTGATATTATAAAGCAGGTATTAGAAGGAGCATAATGGGGTGTTCTCATGAAGTGAGACTGAGTCTGCCCTTGGGAATGACTCAAGGATTGAGACATTCTCCAGCTCAATTCTGCTTGCTTCCTGAAGAGAGAGAAGATTGAAATATATCCTGCAATGGACCTCAAGCCTTTCTCAGTTCAAGGGAAATGGTAATGTATTTTAGCACCTCAGTTAGCAAGTTAGAAAAGAAATAGGATCAGGGCAGCATGGGCCTGTCTTGTGATCCAGTATTCCAAACACTATTTTTGGTTTCTAGCTCCTTATGTGCCATTTTGTTTTCTAAATTTACTTGTAATCTGGAGTCTGCAAGAACACAACAAACACCATTCCCATCCTGGCCTCTGACCAAGAACTGTGGCAGTTCTTGGCCTGCAGTATTCTGCAGCTCTTGCAAAGGGCTCACACTCTCCACTGAGTGAGAGCCTACATCAAAATGAGGTTGCAGTGCTTTACTTCACTAGAACATGCACCTCAAGCATTTACSTCAAGGTTATAGTAGCTAACAGAGGCTGATGACTTTTACCGTATGTTTAAGCCCCGATCAATACACAAGGATGAGTGGAGACCAGATTCTAGGCTCAYTGGAACACCTCCATGCAGCTCTGGTGAATGCATTCATGGCTCCTTGGTGCTCAGCATTTCATCAGTTAAATCTTTGCTCAATAATCTGTGTATTTTGATGTTCCTTTCCAAAATCTATAATTTTTTTACACATATTGTGAGGAGTTTAATTGCCCAATAAAGGAATCAAGAATCTTGTGGGCAGTGGCTAAAAACTAGGCATTGCAGTGCCTAGTTTGAAGATTTTGAGACCTTTCTCACTATGGTTTTGGATAGTTTAAAAGCTGCTGGAATATAAATTAGAACTCTGTGGTGCTGGGTGTGGTGGCTTATATTTCAGCAGTTAAACAACATCCACTTAGGAAAAAAATGGAAGTACAGGGTTTAATTTACAGGGTTTTTTTGCAACATTTGACACTGTGGAGGATTAGGTATAACGTAATGAGATCTGTGTACAAAAAGCTTGTGCAGAAAACCAGTAGATCAAAAAGTGGATGGTTTTATTTCTAGTCCTGACTTTCTCTGCTTTCTTACAAATCCCTTATGACTACAGTTTAGCTCAAGGAAAGCACAATCTGGTTTTTAGTTATTTCAAATGCCTGACTCAGCATTTAGAAGATTGAGTCTTTAAATATGAACAGCACATAAGTTGAGAAGAATATTTTATACTATATATACAAGAAGACAAACTATGCGTTGGGCCTCTGGTAATGTGCTGTTGAAGCATGTTCTTGATTGAAATGTACAGACTGTTATGTAAAGGTTGAAATGCTTCATTTTATATCACATACTTATCATTTATTGAGGAATGTGTGTTCCCTTTACGTGTGTTTGAATCCAGTGACAATATGCTGATGCCCAGTGAGCTACTATTTACTTCCCTTTGTTTTACAACAAAATTGAAAAGAAAAACATACCTGTAAGATTTTKGAGTAACTGATGACAATGATTAATCCTGGTATTAGAAAGAAAACAATGGCAAAGGTCATATCCCAGAGTATTTCTCCTGCTGTGCTGGGCCAATCCAGGGTGCAAATCTGAATGTCCTATTCAGAAAAAAATGAAGAAGAAAAGTAATAGTGTACCATTATTTCCAGTACAGTATTGTCCTTATCTCCCTCTGTGCTTATGGAAAGAGATGGTTGTAGACTAAACCAAGACTGTGAAAACTTCACACTTGAACAAAGCAGTCAAGTAATATATTATTTGATGGGTTTAAAAGCCCAAACAATAACAAATAGATGTGTCCACAATTGGAATATTCCCATTAATTTCGTATCAAGTGCTAATGGCAACTTTAAAATTGAAACGGACAGACCTTAAACTTAACCATCTACTTAAGTGTTGAGTGCACTTTTGTAAGCACTTTAAAATATTTGGCAGAAGTATCTCTGCACTGCCATTTGTATAGAGGGAGCTGCGGGTGCAGAGCAACTCTCCCAGGATGCTGATCCCTCGGTAAGGGGAAGCGTGCTGAAAAGGGGATCCTGAGCCGCGCTGAGGAACTCAAGGAGAATCCCAGCCAGTGCGCGTTTCCCATCTATCGGGACGGTGCGCCGGGAGAGCGGCCGGGGGCAGCCGTGGGGAGGCTCGGCAGCTCCTCCGCGCACAGCGGCGCACCTGCCCAGCCCGCGGAGCGCTGCCCGCCCTGGAAGAGATCTCCTCRCTGCCCGCCCTGGAAGCGATCTCCTCKCTGCCCGCCCTGGAAGCGATCTCCTCTCTGCCCGCTGTCCCGCCGTGGCACAGGCACACGAGCCTCCGCTGCCGGCGCCCCCGGCCCTTGTCGGCGCGCTGAGGCTGCCGCGGGCGCGCCCGGCGCTCGCCCTCACCTGGCCGGCGGCGGCGGGCAGCCGCACCACGGTGAAGAAGCAGCAGAGCGGGAGGGTGGCGAGGGCGGCGAAGCCCCAGATGAGGAGCATGGCGGCGGCCAGCACCTTGCGGCGGCGGAARGCGGCGTGGCGCAGCCGGGCGATGGTGACGACGCGCTCCAGGCTGACGGCCGAGAGGGAGAGGATGATGACCGTGCCGCCCAGGCTCACCACATAGAAGAGCAGGTGGCAGACGACGTCGCCCAGCAGCCAGGACTCGGTCCAGCGCACGATGGCGATGAAGGGCATGGCGGTGATGAAGAGCAGGTCGGCGCAGAAGAGGTTGAGGACGAGGCAGTTGGCGGCGCAGAGCCGGCGGTGCCGCCGCATCAACAGGCAGATGCCCCAGATGTTTCCCGCCAAGGACAGCAGGAAGATGGAGGCCAGGGCAGCTGTCTCGCCGACACGCAGGGCCGTCACATTGCGGCCCCTGAAGTCCGAGAAGAAGGGGAAATAGGTCCTGTTCCCTCCTGGTGGGGCCCTGGAGCCCGGCATGAGGCTGGCCAGTGGGCATGAGAGACCCACGGTGGACGGTGGCACCAGCCCTAGGGGAAGGGCTGCGCTCCCAACCACCACGGCGGCACCTGGGGTGCCCTCCCAGCACAGAGCCAGGGGATGACCGCCATCCCCTTCCCTCCTCTTCTGCTGCCCCTGCCACCAAGGGCTCGGCCGTGCCAGCCGGGAGGTTTATGGCCCTCGCACTGGAGTGGAACAAGGAAGTGGGAGAGTAAACACGGTGGAGCTCACACAAAGGCGAGGCCGCAGTGCGTGGGGCGGCAGTGAGGGGCTGCCCGACACCTCCCTGGCCAGGGTGTGGATCGGCACACGGGCACCTCCATGCCCAGGGGCCCAGGCCCACGCACCTCATCCCGGACTGGCCCTGTCTGGTTGGCTCTCCAGGCAGGCTCCTGGGTGACAGTGACCTTGGGAGGCCACCCAGTCTGCTCCCATCCAGTGGGGGTGTGCATGCCTTAAAACATGGATGGCTATCACACCACTCTGAGAGCTCTCCTCAGGTGCCTGAGATGACCAGACTAATCYAGGGTAAAAAAAAGGAGGAATTTATCCCTCACATCCTGTATTGACGTGTATTTGGAAACAGTAGACMTGTGAATTTTTTGTCCTCACTGTGGAGAAGTGTCACTGTCATGATTTTGGGGGTCTATTTACAAAATTGATCCAGAATCTTAATTACCTGTGTTACGAGTTCTTGCTGGAGAAGCCTGTTAAAGTAAGACAGCCTAGAAAATACCRTATTTTCTCTGAACTTCAATTCCTAGAAGTAGTTACTCAGATTGTAAACATCCCAGATTATTWAAAAATGGTCTGGGCGTGAAGCACATAAATTGTCACAAACAAGCAGATAATATCTCATAAAAGGAGATAATTTTTTTTTCATAAAGTATGTAAACAGGTTTATAACTTTAGACAACTCTGGGTGAATCCATTTGGCTCAGTGATGTGTAGGTGTTCAAGGGTGCCCTTACAGGCTCAGTGTGTAGTTCTACACCTTCTCATTAGGCGAGAGTTATTCCAAAATGCTGTGCCATGGGGACATGGTGGTGCTTCTGCAGTACCCTGGGTGTGACCCTGCCATCAACCRTTTACGCAACAGCATTAGCGGGGATTCCAGATTAGTGGGGATTCCAGAAACTCAGTCCTTCAAAGGGGCAATCTCCTAATGAGGGATGACAAGAGTGACATCTTTCCTGGACTGCTTCCTTCCCACATCTTTGCCAGTGCAGAATTTGCTGTAAGTGGTTCTAACTATCTRTGCCGTCTCATCAAACAGGTAATTTGCAGGGCAGCCTGAATAAGTGGACGAAATGCTGCTACTGATTTTTCCTGATTGATGACTRTGTGAAATGTGAGTACAGTTGCTGTCAAGCGGGATAGACTGTGAGCTCAAGGGAAGACAATAAGAAAACTTGCAAAGATTGGGGCTCTTTTCAGCAATCAACACTGGCAAGTGTCTTGATATAGATGCTTTATTCTACATCATTTGATGGGAGAAAAAATCTGCACCCATATAAAAAAGTTTCAGAAAATTTAATAGATCTACTGATTATTAGTATTTATGATCCATACTTGGAACATCTAGCCGCAATTTATGTTGGCTCTGCTGTGGACTGAATCTTTTAAATGATTATAGTGAGTCTTGAAATATAGCAAACACCTTCCAGCTGGCACAACCTCACAGGTCTGGGACTTTTTACAAGTTGACAGACTAGCCCCAAAGTTCTGGGCAGCTGGGAGTAGCAGTGGTGTTGTCAGCTCTAAATAATGGCAGGGACTTGGGAAAGAGCTGTTGTTAGTGGTTGTACCTATGTGAAAACCTGCAAGGCATTAAGAGACAGGAGGAGTGGAGGCAGGACAAATGGAAATGGTAACACAGATAAATGCAAATTTTATTATGAATAAAATCTTTAGCCCCTTTGATATCAGTGGAAAATTAAATTAGAAACTGGCCTTGTCAATTCAGGATAAAAGGAAACAGAATAGGGAAAGAAAAGGGCGTGAAAGAAACAGGGAGTGAAATGCAACTTCCAGAGTTGCATTATTGAAGACATTGTGATACTTTCAGTCAGGGAGGAAAAGAATGCCAGAGGAGCAGAAGGTTTGAAAATGAGATGATGTGTGGAAGTACCTGGATAGACCTTTGATCTCCTTTAGAAAGGATCACCTTTAGCTTTGGTCCTTAGGTGTGAGTGAGAACCTTACTTACTTGGCATAAGCCTGTTGTTTGCTCTGGAGAACCAAAGCAAAATGCTGCTTTTAGTATGGTATTAGTGAGTGAACTTCATATTGACCTGTGTACAAAATCCTGTGCCTGGGGACGGCAGAGGTGTGAAGAAACACACGTTTCCATTGGGTTTGATCAAATGAATCAGGGCTCCTTGCAGGAGTAAAAACAGTCTGAGTACTCATGGGTCTGTTGCATCCATTATCTAAAAGAGYAGCTTTCTGTTCCCTCCCATGAAGTACAAAAGCTGTATTTGCTGTTGGGCTGGTCTGATCATAGCAACCATTACAACGTGAAATCTGAGGAAAGGAGGAATCGTAACCTCAATAGAGCTACTCTGGCTTTACTGTAATAGGTGGATGCTGTGTGTGGTATGTGCACCACGTGCTTATGACAAGGAAGTGATTAACAGAATGCTTGGAAACCTGTTATGATTGCTTAACCTATATAATTTTTTCAACCTATGTTTGCTTTTATGTTCAAATATGGAGTCAACTCAGATTTTAGTTGTTCTAAGCTAAATGGAAGCTKCAGAGACCTCTGTGGAGCTGGTTTGTCTAATCTAGAAGTGAAAAATCTTGTTTCCTTTTTTTGTGGGTGTTTTTTTTTCATCCCTAATGAAAGCCCAAGCTTTGGCCTTCTCTGTTGCAGATAAGGACTGTGTTACTTGATACCATAGGTCRAGCTCTGCTTTTCAGATTGTTCCCATGGCAACCATGAACTGTCGTGACAGATGGGGATAGATCAGTTTATTTATTTCTTGAGCATTAAGAAATATTCCCAGAGAGAAGGACCACTGGGGCTCGGTGACTGTGGGAGATGGGAGTTCTTGTTCCATTTGGACATGATCTAGTAAAGGTTTTTGCTTTGTTTATMCATCCTCTTGGATGTAAATTGGTGTTGCAGTCTTTGGGTCTATTTTTGTGCACCTGTATCACAATGAGTAAATAGCACTGACTTCTGTAACAGAWGTATTGCACATTTAATGTTTGCTAAGTGATGTAAATTCATTTCGTTAGATATGTTGGCTCTGTCTTCRCAAAAGAGGTTGCAAGCTTGTAGATGACTCGTGTCTGCATAATAAGGTTTTTAGCATAAGTTTCAATCAAGATTAGCTTTCTGTTTTCCTTTTTGTGCTTACATATCACACTGCAGCTCTTCTGCCTCTAGRTACTATGGATCCTGTGCTTAGAAGAAGTGACACTATTAAAAGGTATGTTTCAAATACAAGTCTGGTTTGATTTATTTTGTATTTTAGGAAATTTTCTAATTGCTGACCCATTCTGTACTTTCATATCAGTGAGCTGAAGTGCTTACCCCAATGTGCAAGTGACAATTTTGAACTTGTAGAGCAAATATAAATGCATCTGTTTGTTTTTGTATAGTAGYAAGCTCATCCATTCCTGTCTCTGCAGAAAATAGCTAGATGCTTTACTCATGTTGTCATGTCAGAAACTGATCCCAGTTCCTTCTGGGACATGAACAAGTCACTGTTTCTTCTGGGAAGTTGCATTTTCTGTGGTCAGTATCCATCAGAAGCTGGCATGCTTCCTGGGAAATGTGCCAGGGGCACTGCAGTTTCTAGCTGTACAGCAGCATTACTGACCAAGGCCTCAGCCAAAAGCAGAGCTGCTGATAATACTGTCAAATGTGCTTTCTGATAAAAGCTGGGTCAGCTTTTGGTCATCGATACCACCAGAAGTTTTGCCAACACCAACACTGAACAATTTCCTTGTGGCTTGTAGTAAGGAAGAGATTTCTCTCTGAACCAAGTGCAAATTTAGAACATAATCCACGTAACATAGAATTCCTGGGGAAGGTCATATCTTTGTTTTGCTGCATGTTAACCACACTTCACCAGAGTGACTCAGCTTCAGCTAAACTGTTATAATTAAATTAGAGKGTTTCTTAAGAGTTTTAGAATCTGTACACATATCTAGCCCGTGGATTTAGGGAGTTTATCAGTGAAAACAGATAATGGCTTGTATCAGAATGGCTTGTTTGGACATTGCAGAATCTGGTAGAACACTCTTGCCCAGGAATTGAGACCCTGAGTGAGWTTTTTGCAGAGTCAGATGTTAAAGTTCCGCTGGATCTTTGCTTAACTTTCAGGTGTGCATAAAGTTACTTGCTGTGAGCKTTGAGACAGCTTTTATGCAGAGACATAAAAACAAAAGCTATGGTGTACATCTGAAGGAYTTACAAACCAGCTTGTCACCAGCCTCTCATGCTTATGAGATGTGCCTAAACACCCCAAATACCAAAGAATCAGACACCATAGTGCTGTTTGTTAAAATAATGTGGGAATGAGGCACTTCCCAACAATAAGGAATTAAATGACACCTTAGACTTGAASTTTATACAGACAGGAATATCAGTAATTTTCCAGATGAGAAACACAAGATTAAACTGTTTTAATGACTTGTGGTGCAGTAGCTACTAACTTAGCATGTAAATAACATGAAGAGTCAAAGCAGAAGAACCACTGAACCTTTTTAATTAAAATCTTACCTTGTTTGTTTTTTCTTGCAAGTCTTTATATGTCAATAAAGACACGGCTTCAAAGCATTGTGAGAAATCAGTRGCTGATGTCCCTGACCCAAGGCAGACTCGCCAGCCAGGGATGGTTTAGGTAGTTACATAAGTGTCCCTGTAAATCTCCAGCGGTGGAGATTTCACTGCTTCCATCAGCATTATGTTTCACTGCTCACTTACTCCAAGCACCAGAAAGATTTTCCTTATCTGTTGCAATTTTGAACATGTTATTCTTTTCATGGAGCAGTGGAAGATGTTTTTTTTTCTTTTCTCTCTATGAAATTTTGTCACTGTTTATGTTTTTTTCTAGACTGGATAAGCCTGATTCTTTCATTAATTTGATCAGAAATCTGAAAGACTTCTACTATATTCATATTAGTCTGAATTGTTCTTGAAGTATAATTGAAATACTTAAAATCAACATAGCCATGTGAAAAATGGTTATCAAAACCAAGAGTAAAACATGCACAAGCAAGTAAATTATTAKAAGTTGATATAAGAAAAATAACAGAGCTATCTTTCAGTTTTTATTTCACAAGCAGCTCTCTTTGTGGAAAAAAAAATTATGTGGAGTTTCAGCTGTCTTTCCAGCCACCTGACCTTGCATGGAAATAATTTAATTTTCTGTTTAAAAAGAGCAGCATGAAAGCTAGGATTTGTAAATATGCTAGTATTGGTAAACCGTTGTATTAAACCCCAAGCTTCCCTAGATCAACAACTTCAAATAATGGAGACCTTCTGCTAGGCTGAAAATCAATTCCTTGAAAGGGACATWACAGAAAAAGGCTACTGAAATTGTGCTTGAAATTATGAAGACATTGCTGTTGCTTCCTGCCTTACAAAGAACTATACTTACAGCTAATTAATTCTTACCAGTAAGGTAGCACATTAGGCACAAACTTCTCTTTCCTACATATAACTAAAGAGAGGAGCAGTGGATCTTCATTAACTTTCAAAATTTAAAAAAAAAAAAAAAATCTGAGATTTCTTTGCTTCTGAAGAATGGAAAAAAAGCAGTGATATGATCTGCATACCTTATGAACTTGTAGTTTTATAGTTGGTTTTAATTACACGTAAGTGATGACAATAATATTTGTGGGTCTGCTTTCAAAGTATTTTGCTTCACCAGAATGTCATTTTGGTRTTTTTCAATATATACCACATTAACGACTTGTATAAATTTATCAGCAAGGACTTTTTTTGTGTTTAGGTGTAACATTTATCAGATAGGATTAAATCCATTGTTAAAGTTCAGAAAAGATGGAGAGAACTTTAAAAAGTTTATCACATTATCAACTTTCTGAGTCTCCTTCTACAGTATCAGTTTCTAATATGAAAGTGTTTAATGCTAATTTAAGAAAGCCTCAGAACTACTGAAGTGCTGACCTGTAGTAGGCTAAACCTATTTCATTTATAATACATAAAAGATCAGGATTTCCTTTTGCARAAACTATGCTGAGTAGGCAGCTGGRAATAGAATACTGGCTGATTAAGGTGTTGCTAAAAAGACAACTAACTTACTTTCAAAAGTAGTTTAAYTAGAGATTAAAATTATTGGGCTGCAATGRAAARCATAGTTATTWTCCTGAATTAAAATATTTTWAAAAATATATGAAAATAAGATTATTTCCCTCATTGCAAAACCTTGAGATTCTGAAGCATAATTTCTMTTTTGCTCATTAGTTCATCATATCTTTGGTCAGAAAACCTATTGCYAACAACTGAGCAAATTGTCAAATACAAAGACTAGCCTGACACAGTCAGTGAAATTGAACAGTGAATAGAGTGACTAATACAATAAATTTGGCAGAGGTATTTCAGATTTAAGAGTAACTTTTAATATTTTCTGTCTCATGAGCACTGGATTTAAGTGATAATAACATCATGTGATACTATAAATTATTGAAAATTACTTGGAAAACACCTCCATATGTAAGAATAAAGTTTAACCATCAGGGATTAAGGTGAATATAATGGGCTAAGCGTACACAGTTTTGCAGCAAAGCACATTGGAAAAAGGTGATACCAGCTAACAATCAGAATCAGCAGGCCAGAGAAAGATCCACCTTGGGTATTTGTGTGTTCTCAGTCAATCATTGTAAAATAAGCAAATTTATTCTTAACTAGTGTATCTTTGTAAAATTTGCCCATTTTAATAATTTCCAGAGAAGTAAATCCTTGTTGGAACTTCACTACAGATGCAAGGAACAAAGTGCTCACAACACATTCAGGTTYACAGCAGCTGCTAGAGAAAAATAACACTGCAACTACAAATCCTTTGGGGATTTTTTTTTTTGCCAGTTTCTAATTTGATGCCAGAATTTATCATTAACTTGTGTTTTGTRTGAATACCAAAATACAGTGACACTTCATATCCTGTAGCGCAGTTTATCAAAAACTGCACTTTAGGACATCGGTCAAATCTAAGGTTGAATTAACAACATTTCCCAACTTTAACCTCTAAAATACAGAAGCAAAACAAGTTTAATTAAGCATAATTCTATAGCCAAACTTCAAAAATGGCCTCTGACATTGTCTGAGGTATAAACYTTTTCAGTACCAAGGAAATTAGTATTTGTTGGAAGTTGTTTTTTCTGAGATTAAACCTTGGTCAGCATTTAAGTCACCCTTGTGATAATTATCAATGTGGTGAGAATCAGCTACTTAAGATTAATGTTTTCAACATTAAYCTAAAGCAGCAAAGATCTGAGTTTTTATGCATAAAAGTGATGATGTAYTTCACATTTATATGATATATAACATGTATATATGTCTATAGTGTACACACTACAAATATATACACAGACCATGTATAAAGAAATATATATGTAATACACCTACGAGGGCCAAAATTTTTTTGCAGCTATTCTTGTCAGTTAAGGTACAAGCACAATCATCAGAATTCACCAACCAAGGACAMAAAACACTAAAATATACTCTGACACAATAATTGTACTTTTATTGTTCTTATATTTAATAGTGCAAAAAGAAAAAGAAAAATAAGTCAGTAGTTTACTATTTTAAATATTTTCAATTCTAAAAATAATTGTTTGCAACCAGAAAATGCAGTAGCTGTTTTGCAAAAACATGAGGTAACATACCGAGGCCAAATTATTATAATATTAATAATGTTTTTGTGGAACTGAATTATAAAGTTAACAGTCCTTTATATAACTGTAAGAAAAAAGCTGTAAACAGATCTTTTGCCAAGCACATTGGCAGCATATATGGAGCAAAGATAGTAAGTCCATTTGGAGCTCAAATCGTACAGAAGTCAACATGTGCTAGTAATTCTCTRTGCTGGCTCGTTGGGTACTGCACTTTACATATGGGACACTCGAGAAAGCTTTCATCGAGGCAGCTGGAATGTTTCAGGGGAGGACTTCTGTCATATGTGGTCAGCTTCTTGTCAAATACAGCTTGCAAATCTTCTTGTGATTCCATGTATCCAGATTCCCTGAGTTTCTGGAAAAGGAGGAGCTTCAGTGTAAGACTGGGGCATGCACTGATCAAATAGTGTAGGAAATAATATTAAGGCTTCATGGCACACAAGCCTTGTAGTGTTACAGTACCAAGGATTATGCCCAKTTCACCAGCAAAGGCTCTGAGTGGAAGCAAATTGCAGCTTTGTCATGGTGGAACAGACAAAACTGGGTCACACACTGTGATATAAAATACAGTGTGCTCCCTGCTCAGGAGCCTGACTGTTCTGGAGCTCCTGCTGCAGTTCTCCTGTTCCGTGCATTCTGCACAGAAAAGCAGTGTCTGCCTGCCTGGCAACAGGGCTCTCTCTGCACCTTGGGGACACAGATGTAAAGGATGGAGGGACACTTACTTGAAGTAAGGTCCCAAAGTGAGAAGATGTATGTTTATGCAAAATCCCTGACTAAATTCACCTGCAAGTTATTCAGTACATACCAGAGGCTCCAGACGCGTWATTTGCTCCCTGGCCTTGCGCAGCTCCTTGAGGACTTGGTTTAACTGATGCTCCAAGTTCTGGCGATCAAGCTTTCCATTCTCTAAGTCTGTGGTGCATATCTGGATCTGGCAAAATGAAAAATTAAAAGTCAAAATTATTATGAATTGGGAGGAATGTTTCCCATTTATATATTTAAAGTCAGTTTTGTTCTGCAGTAACATCTTAAAATGGGACTAAAAGGAAAATTTAAAAATTGCYTATTGCTTTCACCACAGTGAAATTCATACATGTTCAGTTATTTAAATCTCCCTTAGCAGAGGTGCAGTTTAAAGTTATTTTGGTGGGAAGGTATTTCAATTTCAAATAAAGGAAATAGAAAATATGGCAATKCAATTACTTCTATAACTATATAAAAATTTATTACGAAACTTCAATTAGCTGATTAGTTTTAGAATGTTTCCTGTGTCTTATGTGAGGCTGTAACTGTTGAACAAGAGATTGTGGAGAAAATAGCATCAGGTTTGATCACACCCTCTTACCAGTAAAAGCTTACAGATTTTCCTCTTGACAGATGTGACAAAATTTTTAGGATCAAGAGATTATACATGGTTGAATATTCATGCCTAACATTACTTTATTTAATATATTAATCATTCTTAAATGTGAAGTTACTCTAGCAAGACTTTGTGCATAACAYAGATTAAATATCAGCACTTTAGCATATAATTTGGTACCTGCTTTTCCARCAAAGCTATTCTTGTGTGTTCTGCCTCCTGTCTGAGCAATGATTTACGAAGAAGTTGCACCTGCAAGACAGATGAACACTTGTAACAAACAACTTCCATATACAATAATTAATAAGCTTTAAAAATAATTTATAATGGAATGGAACTCTTGCATTCCACTGCCAACAGAAAATGTCTGCCTGTTATGCAACAGCCAAACTCAATTCAAATCTCCACTTCTCTGAGGAAATCCCTAGTGAAAAATTATTGCACTGAGAAGGGGGAATGCAGGATGATGTTATTGTTTAAAAAAAGAAACCAAAACCTGAACTTTCCTAAGTGATTGCCAGGATACTGACAAAAATATACTCACAAAACCTGGGTTTGGACTAACATGATATGATGTCAATAAAACTGAACAATGCAAGGTTATTTTAATAGGAGAACAAGTTTAAGGGTCAGAAAGTACTGTATTATAATGRTTAAGTAAATACATACATTAAAATAACCTCCGCTTTCAGCATGTATCAACTTTTATGATAATACTGTGGTTCAGCTTCAAAAAATGAAATAAAATAAACATCTTTTAATCATTGTTAACCAGTGAGAACTAACCTGTGTTTAGAGAGCTTAACTACTGTTCTGGTTTTGGCCTACTTTAGTGTCTAGCAAATTTTATTCTCTTATTTCTAATACCAGTTGTCTTATAGGTGACAGGTGACAGCAAACATTAGTGGCACTCCATAGTTAGGAGCACATGATAAAATGAATTTTTACCTTTCCTGTTCTCATTTACTATTAGTCTTAAGGATGAACTATATTAGAATCACTTCAATGTTTTCTCACTTCTCTTTAACGTCCCTTAAGCCAGGGAAATAAATGAACAAAAGGTTCCTTGTTAAACAACTCAGTTTTTACACAAGGACATGAGTCTAGATCTATGTGAAGAACAGTTACCAGAGAGAGTGATGTCCATTCTGATTAACTACAAATTTTCATTTCTCTTGATTCTTTGATAATGGTCTCAGACCTCCAAATTAATCTACTTACCTGACATAAAAGATCTTCACACTTTTCTTTTTCTTCTCTGAGCTGTTCTTTGATAGTTTCATTTTCTTCTTTGAGTCTTTGTGCTTTCTCTTTCATTTTATTTTCGTTTTCTTGAGTCTTCATTTCAGCAACCCGCTGTGACTGCAGTAAGGCATTTAAACTCATTATTTCCCCTTGTGTTTCTTCATATGTCTTTTTGAATTCATTCAGTTCAGATCTCAGCTGGGTTATAGTGCGCCTTTCGGTCTCGAGATCACTCTTAGCAGTTAGTAAGAGCTGGTCATAGTATTCTTGCTTTTCCTCTTGTAGATGACCTTAATGAGTCAGAAATAATTGAATTAGTAAGGTGAGAAAAAAAAACACTTAAAAATCGAGCAGTAAATCTTTAACATCTTTTTAAGGCATATTGATAGAAATCGATGTAGTAGGCTATTGCACAGCTCAGATTAGAACTAAACTTCAGTTAAGACAGCTTTCAGTTTTTATAATTCTTTAAGTCTCTTTGGCAATATAGTTACTGGCAAACACATTTGTTGTATGGCCTCATGCATTACACTGACACATGAAATGAGACCCAAAGAGACTGGATTCCTACTTCCACTTTTAGGCTCCTTAGCCAAGCTGCTGGCATTACTCCCTCCCAAGAGATACCCTTGGGGATGTGATGCATTTCACTTCAACCTGGTTGACCAAAGACCTTCCACTGTCTTTTGTAGACCATTTTTTTCAAATTTTATGCAATATTTTACTTCTAAATAGCAAATAGAAAGGACTAGGATAGTCTTTTGATTTAAAAAATGCTTGCTTCTTGGGTAGCAGCTGTTACTTAAACAAGAGTTTGAAAAATTTCTGCATGTTTACCCCAGAAAAGTTTAATAAGTAGGAAAAAATGGAGGCAGATTGCTGAAATTCAGAAGTAATACAAAATATACCTAGAAGCAGAATGAGGAATGTAGAACTTTATGGGCTTTGCTGATTTTTGGCACTATAAGTTTTGTGACTTCTTTGATACTTTTCCTATTGAAGACTTATCCTAATTCTTCAAAATGTAATTTTCTAGGGAGTTTCCTGCTTGACTGTTCTCCCTTTTCTCAGCTGTGAACTAAGCCTTACATTCTCGTTAGCAATACTCCTTTAGAGGGCAGTGACATCCTCAGAGATAGCCCAAGTTTTTAAATGGAAAAAGTTATCATATGTCCTTTCAACTTGAAGAGCTTGGTTCTTAGAAATTTGGATTTCTATTACTGCCTAGCTGCCTGAAGAGAGGAACTTTCTTACACCCTGACTCCAAATCTTCTGGCTGCTCCTGTGGCAAAGCTTTGACTGCAGCAACTMTGAGTTACATTTCCTGAAGAGCTGAGTTTGCCTCCCTTCAGAAATACTGTTCATAGATTTCTGAACAGCACCAAAACATGATTATGATTATATTTTACTGTTTTCCAGAAAGATTCAATCAGCAATATAGAAACCAAGTCACTGCCCATGTATTACTTGTGGATATGCTCTTAACTCCACATGATGCCAGCTCTGTTTAGTGAATTACCTTGCAGGTCAGTTGTAGCAKGTATAAAATAAATAATTTGAAARTAAGAAAATAAGTCAATGCCTCTGGTTCTTCTGCTCAACATGATTTTAAATTTTATTAATACTGAGAGGGTGTGCCTTATTGAGGAACTGCACAGCAAGGAAGTGAGCTGGAGGTGGCCAGATCCTCATTGTGAAACAGTGCTTTGGAGAGGTGCCAAAATCTATCACAGGTTTTCTTGCCCTGTAACAGCTGTTCAGGTGAGTAAAGAACATGGCAATCTTGAGTCATTTTTATAATATTTGTTTTGAAAAAAGTAAATTTAAAAAAATCTGATCCACACCTAGCTAATAAATCCTTAATGCTTCCATTATGTCAGTTGAAAGTGTACTTTGAAGGATGGGAGACAGTCATCTATTTACCTCAACACTTTGCACAAACAGAGAGGTTGCTAATAGAGTGTCAAGGCTGTTAAAAACCATCTTTGAAGTGGATAAGAACAGGAACTACTGTTGGTCAAGTAACATGGCAATATAACAGGAAGCAGAGAAATATTATTTAACCAACTTTTCCCATTAAGCAGCCAAAGTGTTGAGAACAAAATCTTGATTCTGTTTAATTGTTGTCAGAAAATTAATTCTAAAGATAATTATGGTTTGGGTCACTTGTGGGGGAAAAAATAAAGTTGATACCTTCTGAATTTGATTTAGGTTCTTGTTGKTTAACTATTTCTGCCTTCTGTTCAAGTTCAAAGATCCTTCCAAGCAATCCCCTGACATAGGCTTCCCGTTGCTGGTCATACAGTAGCCACTGCTGGTTTTTCTCAAGCGCCTTCATGAAAAGAAACAGAAGAATAAAAAAGTCTCAGGTAATTAATCAGATTTTAAAATTATTTGTCTTATGTGTTAAAAATATTCAAATTTATATATTACATAGTTTAAAGATAAGCTAGTTAAGTCTGCTGTAAACTGTAAGAATCTGTACAATGAATAAATAAATCAATCCATCTTCATTTGTAAAGTTAGATCAGGATGGTGAGCATAAGTTAAAACTCCAGCTATGGGAAAATGACTTAAAGAACAAAGGCTTTCCTGAGCCATGCCTAGATTATGAAGAATAAGCTTTTCAATCTCAAATATAAAATAAAATRTAAARTAACAGATCTTGAAAATGGAATAAAATAAAACTGTATTGTTGCAATTTAGTTTGTAAGAACAAGGATGTGAATTTTTTAGATGCTCGGCTCATAGACTTATTCAGCTTGGAAGGGACCTCAGGAGGTTTCTGATCCAACCTCATGCTATCCCAGCCAGTGTCAGTTTCCTAGAGGCTCCTGATTTGTCAGCAACCACTTTGTTCTGATGTTCCAAGCAAGATTTTTCAACGATTATAGAAATCTTAGGTTTTTCATCTGCAAGTTTTTGGGTTTTTAAATTTAAGTTACTGCCTAGTCACAAAATAATTTTAGAGATTATATTTTAGGGAGAAACGTATCCTCTGAGGTCCCRTACTATCCAAAAATGTGTCTGATCACAATTTACATTCTTCTGCACCTCAATACAGATGGTATGTACTTGAAATGTACAGGAAACTTACATCTTTCAATTGCCTTTCAACTTCAGTGCTGTTTGTTGCACCTTCCTGGAGACAAAGAACAACTTGTAAGTGTTTAAAATACATGGCTCAAACAGAAAAACTACTCCTGTAAAGCCATTAATCTCACATAAACAGCATAAGAATATTTTAAAAATTAAAACACATGCTTTTAAAAGTGAAAGCAAATGCCTATATGTGTGTTTTGTGTTTAGAAAGCTTTATAGTTGGTTGTTGGGGTTTTTTTTTTTGAAGGATCCAAGTTATGTAGAGGCCATTTCATATATTTTAAATAGACTCTTCTGCAAGATATGGGACAAAGATTACATGGAATTTATTCCATAAATCTGCAACTTATAATTACACTAAAACATTTCCTAAGAAAATCATTATGTATTTTGTGTCAAACTGCTGTCTTGGAAGTCCTGAAGGGTGTTCCCCAAACAGCTTTTGAAAAATGAAGATATTTAGGGGTATTATTTAAGTAGACAAAAAAAAGGTAAATGTTTCTTCTATTTTTGTATCCTCAAATGTTTGACAGTAAACCTACAGGGGTTCTTGGGGAAAAGCCAGAGACCTCGATGCTTCACTGGGATAACAGGAACACTGTAAACATCTGGAAAATCATGCAAGCCTGTCTGGAAGCATAACAACAAACTGCCTGATTTTCTGAGACCTGATCCACAGTACAGTGAGTATGACTCAAGCACATGTGTGAGTAAGAGAGTTTGTGAGACTGATCTAAAACTAGAGAGAGMAGTTACACAGTCATATTTCTTCCACTCTGACATATATGGTCTCTGCATGATACAAAGTGTTTACGAAMATGTGTGTATATAATTCAGAGGCAACTTCAATGAGGGAAAAAAACCCCGTAGATTATCRCCCAAATCCAAACTACTTTTTTCCAATGTTTTTCTATGGGTCTTGGAATATGATTTACAACAGAATTTATAGCTGAAAAATACAGAACTTTGAATGCAATTGTTAAACTTCAACACTTCCTAAYAAAAATAGGATACAGAGATATGGGCTTGTTTCCATGAACATTAGAATCCTGCCTCAGTGAAAACTTTTCCAACTGTTGCTTCCATTCCAGAGCTCATACGCCACCTAGCAGTTTCAAGCAGCATTGCTAGCTTGTTTTCAAGTTCTTCAAGACATCCAGTCAAAATATCATGGTCCTCTGTTGATAAATCAATTAAAAATTTAAAAGAAACTGATGGTTTTAAAGTAAAACATATTTTGGTGGTAYAGTGACAAAAAATATCATGAAAATCTGTTGACTTTAAATACATTTTAAAACCTCTAAAAAGTTCAAAGTCTCTTAAAATTGAAAATAATTGCATTTAAAGTGATATTTMTCAATATACTGCATTATTAGAAGTAGTGTATATACATTATTATCATTCAAAAGTAGTAGATGAACATATTTTGCTATGCATTTGGCCATAGCAAAATTTCTAGAAATTGCTCAACTCCTGTGTAGAGTGCAGGGAACCAGCACCACCTGCAGGTCAAAAGCTGGAAAAGAAAGACAGGCATCTATTTTTAGGCCCCAATTTCCCTGTGCCCCTCACAGAGATACTTCAGCGTTTTCCACAGAACGTAAGAATGAGGTGGAGGGGTGGAAAAACAACTGAATGGACTAGTAAACACTGCCAAGGATTGGCATCAGACCTACTGAGCACTTCACATGAGAGGAGAAAATAATTATTCCTCTCCTATCTCGTGTCACAGTGAAGTAGTTATGATGTGCGATGCCACAGAAAGTATAATTAGTTTTAACACCTGAGATACAAATGAGGATTCATAAGAGCAGAGAGGAGAAAGATATTCTCATGACCCAAAGCTGAATTAGATGAGGAGCTTAGTGTGTATTTRTTGGTGCCCCAGGTCTCCATCACTGCTGCCTGCTCACTCTGTGTAATCACTGAGCACAGATCTGAGAAGGGCAGTGTCTGCTTAAGCAACACTGGTCACCACATGTAGTATCACAATTCACACTACCAGTGTGTGAGCTTGAAAAACGGACCTTCCAATACAGCAGGAGAGAATTCCCTCCCCAGCTGAGTTGCCTCTGACTGTTCCTCATTTAGAGTTCAACCTGAATACCATCTCGCTTCATACAAGAATGTTTCAGCATGCAATGCGGCTTGTAAGAAAATTTAAAACCCATCCTATTTTATAGCAGGTATTGGTGCTTAGTGGGCACAAATTCTAATTTACAACTGCATTATTTCTTCAGTGCTTACCTGGGACGCCTGAGAAGTACTGGCTTTGTTCTCAAGATCAGCACATTTTGCTAGRACTTCAGATAAATTACATTTTAACTGGTTAATTTCTTCTGATAGAGAAAAAAGTAACTGTTCTCTCCTTTCTGCCTCTTTTGCTTTTTCCTCTAGTTGATTTTGTAGTAAGGAGACTTCACTAGTCTTGGTTTTGGACCTAAGCTTGTCTTCCAGGTTTTGGATTTCTCTGTCCTTCTCTCCAAGAAGATGGTTGTATTTTTCTTTTTCTTTTTCAAGGAAAAGTATTTTCTAAATGAAA